TCATAGCACTAGATGCCCACATAAAGAAATTGAAGAAGTCTCACACTAGCAACTTAACAGCACACTTGAAAGCTCTAGAACAAAAAGAAGCAAACTCACTCAGGAGGAATAGATGCCAGGACATAATCAACTGAGGGCTGAAATCAATAAAATAGAAACAAAGAGAACAATACAAAGAATCCATGAAATGAAAAGTTGGTTCTTTGAGAAAATCAAGATAGGCAAGCCCTTATGGAAACTAACTAAATGGCAGAGAGAAAATCCAGGTTAACAAAATCAGAATTGAAAAGAGAGACATAACAACAGACAATGAGTAAATCCAGAAAATCATTGGATCATATTTCAAAAACCTGTATTACACAAAATTGGAAAATCTAAAACAAATGGACAATTTCCTGGATAGGTACCACATACCAAAATTGAATCAAGACCAGATAAACCATCTAAATAGACCAATAACCCCTAAAGAAATAGAAACAGTCATCAAAAGTCTCCCAACCAAAAAAAGCCCAGGATTAGATGGTTTCAGTGCAGAATTCTACCAGACTTTCAAAGAAGAGCTAATACCAATACTCTTCAAATTGTTCCACACAATAGAAACAGAAGGAACATAGCCAAACTCATTTTATGATGCTACAATTACCCTGATACCCAAAACACAAAAAGATGCAGCAAAGAAAGAGAATTACAGACCAATCTCCTTCATGAACATTGATGCAAAAATACTCAATAAAATACGGGCAAATTGAATCCAAGAACACATCAAAATAATGATCCACCATGATCAAGTAGGATTCACTGAGATGCACGAATGACTCAACATATGAAAGTCTGTCAATGTAATACACCATATAAACAAACTGAAAGAAAAAAACCACATGATCATCTCATTAGATGTTGAAAAAGCCTTTGACAAAATCCAACACCCCTTCATGATAAAGGTCTTGGAGAGATCAGGAATACAAGAAACACACCTAAACATAATTAAGGCAATTTCCAGCAAGCTGACAACCAACATCAAATTAAATGGAGAGAAACTCAAAGCAATTCCACTAAAATCAGAAACAAGACAAGGCTTTCCCCTCTCCCTATATCTATTCAATATAGTACTTGAAGTTCTAGCCAGAGCAATAAGACAACAAAAGGAGATCAAGGGGATATAAATTGGAAAGGAAGAAGTCAAACTTTCACTATTTGCAGATGACATAATAGTATACATAAATGACACCAAAAATCTACCAGAAAACTCCTAAAACTGATAAACACCCTCAGTAATGTGACAGGATACAAGCTTAACTAAAAAAAATCAGTTATTCTTCTATATACAAATTATAAATGAGAGAGAAATTACCTTTTAAAATAGCCACAAGTAATAGAAAATACTTTGGAGTAACTCTAATCAAGCAAGTGAAAGACTGGTATGACAAAATCCTTAAGTCTCTGGGAAAAGAAATTGAAGAAGATATCAGAAAATGGAAAGATCTCCCATGCTTATAAATAGGTAGGATTAACATAGTAAAAATGGCAATCTTGCCAAAAGCAATCTATAGATTCAATGCAATCCCCATCAAAATCCCAATACAATTCTTTACATACCTGGAAAGAACAATACTCAACTTCATATGGAAAAAAATCCAGGATAGCTAAAACATTCCTGTACAATAAAGTAACTTCAGTAGGTATCACCATCCCTGACCTCTAGCACTACTAAAGAGATATAGTAATAAAAACAACTTGGTATTGGCATAAAAACTGTCATGTGGACCAATGGAATCAAATTGAAGACCCTGACATTAATACACACACCTATGAACACCTGGTCTTTTACAAAGAAGTCAAAACTGTACAATGGCAAAAAGAAAGCATCTTCAACAAATTGTGCTGGCATAACTGGATGCCAACATGTAGAAGATTCAAATATATCCATGTCTATTGCCATACACAACCCTCAAATACAAGTGGATCGAAGAAAATAAATCCAGTTACACTGAACCTGATAGAAGTAAAAGTAGGAAGTAGTCTTGAATGCACTGGCACAGATCACTTCCTAAATATAACACCAGTAGCACAGACACTGAGAGAAACAATCAATCAATGGGACCTCCTGAAACTGAGAAGCTCCTGTAAGGCAAAGACATGGTAAATAAGACAAAACAACAGAATAGAAAAAGATCTTCACCAACCCCACATCTGACAGAGGGCTAATCTCCAAAATATATAAAAAATTAAAGAAACTAGACATCAAAATGCCAAAAAATCCAATTTAAAAATTGTCTACAGAGCTTAACAGAGAATTCTCAACAGAAGAAGTCCAAAAGACATTTAAGGAGTTGCTCAACATCCTTATTCATCAGGGAAATGCTAATGAGAACAAACCTGAGGTACCATCTTACACCTGTCAGAATGGCTAAGATAAAAAAAAAAAAAACACTGGTGCCAGCTTATATTGGAGAGGATATGGAGTAAGGAGAACACTCCTCCACAGTTGGTGACAGTGCAAACTTGTACAGCCACTTTGGAAATCAGTATGAAGATTTCTCAGAAAACTGAGAATCAATCTACCTCAAGTCCCAATGATACCAATTCTTGGGCATATACCCAAGGAATGCTCAATCACATCACAGGGACACTTGCTCAACTATGTTCATAGAAGCATTATTCATAATAGCCAGAACCTGGAAACAACCTTGATGCCCTTCAACCAAAGAATGAATAAAGAAAATGTGGCACATATACACAATTGAGTACTACTCAGCAGTAAAAAACAATAGTATGAAATTTGCAGGCAAATGGATGGAACTAGAAAATATTCCCCTGAGCGAGGTAACCCAGACTCAGAAGGACAAACATAGTATGTACTCACTCATAGGTGGATACTAGATATAAAGTAAAGGATAACCAGACTAAAACCCACTGCACCAGAGAAGCTAGTTAACAAGGAGAACCCTAAGAGGGACGCATGGATCGCCCTGGGAAGGGGAAATAGATAAGATCTCTATGAGTAAACTGGAGGTGAGGGGGCAATAGAGAGTAGGGGTGGAGGTGAGAACATAGGGAATGGGATGGTCGAGGTTGAACAGGGACAGAGTGGGAGAGTAATAAAAGAGATTCATGATAGAGGGAGACATCATTGGGATAGGGAGAAACTGGGTGCTAGGGAGGTTCCCAGGAATCCACAAGGATGACCCCAGTTTAGATGACTAGCAATAGTGGTGAGGGTGCCTGAATTGTCTTTCCCCAGAAATAAGATTGGTGAATACCCTAACTGTCATCATAGAGCCTTCATCTAGTAACTGATGGAAGCAGGTGCAGACATCCCCAGCCAAGCACCAGGCCCAGCTCCAGAAGTCCAGTCAAAGAGAGAGAAAAGGGGGATTCTATGAGCAAGAGCATCAATATCATGATGGGGAAACCTACAGAGACAACCAAATCAAACTGGTGGGAACTTTAGACCAACAGCTATGTAGCTTCCATGGGATTGGACTAGGCCCTCTGTATAAGTTAGACAGTTGTGTAGCCTGATCTGCTGTAGGGGCCCCCTGGCTGTAAGATCAGAATCCATCCCTGGTGTGTGAGCTTGTTTTTTAGAGCCCACTACCTATGCGGGGGGAGACCTTACATAGCCTTGATGCAGGGGGAGGGGTTTGGATCTGCCTCAACTGAATGGACCAGGCTCTGCTGACTCCCCATTGGAGGCTTTATCTTGTCAGAGTAGGGAATGGGGGGTGGGTTGTGGGGGGAAGGCTGGAGGTGAGGGGGGGAGCAAGAGAGGGGATCTGTGGTTGGTATGTAAAGTGAATAAAAAATTCTTAATCAAAAAAGAAAGAAAATACAGAGTAGAAACACCAAGAATGTCATTGCAATGGAGTATGGTGGATATCTCGTCAGCCTCCATCTCAAAAACAGTGAATATCCCTCATTCTGACTCTCCCTAGGCCCTCTCATTTCCATCCAGGGCTAAGAGTTTTCCTGGGGTGGACATTGAATGAGACTTTGAGTTCTTAAATGTTGGGTCCATGCTCCCTCACTTGAGACTGTAAGGACCATGGGTCATTAGTGAGTAATTTGATGTATGGAGAATATCCTTGGGACCCATAAGATATGCAGGTCTAGAGTTCACAACACTCAGAGAGAATTCTGCCTAGTCGGATTGAGCTGTAGTTTAAGGTCTTAGACATGGGGGAGCATTTGAAGATAAGGAAAAAGTCTGCCAGGCCCTATGGTTAGCACAGCAGTGTCATTTGGTTTCCTGAGGGCAGGATTGTGACAGAGAGCTCTCCTGGAAGGAAGAAGGATGGGAGATGGTTTGCCTTTGTTCTGACCTGAGATCTAACCATGGCTGAAATATGAAGATTTTGTCTCTGTCTATTTTCTCTGACCTTTTCCTTTCACTCTCCGTCCTATCTCCATCTCTCTGGCTCCCTGAGAGTCATGTCCCTTACTATTACAGCTATCACCTCTTTGACTTTCCCCATAGAGTATTGCAGGATTTGGGTCTCTGAGTGGACCTGGTGAGCCCTTAGCCTGCAATCAAGCAGTACAGTAGGTCACTGGGGCTGACAACTTAGGGAAAACATCATATGAGCTTGAGATTCTGTAACAGCCCCTCTGAGGCAGCTAAGAGATTGCAGGGAGATCAACCTAAGAGAACCCAGCAAGAGACTGCAAGACAAGGCACTGAGAGAGGTCACATCCTCCTTTATGGGACAGAACAGTTCATCATCGATAATGTCCTAAGAATAGAAGAGGGTCAGGTTCCCACAAGAGAGAGTGATTCCTAAGCAGCTCTTGGGGACTATGACCCGGGAGTTGAGCTGGTTCCTGCTAAATAGTCTGCTTACCCCCACCATGCCCGGGAAGTGTTCCTGAACTCCACACTCTGTAAGTCTGACTTAGAAGCTAGAAGTACCACTTAGCTGACCATTCCCTTGACAGCAGAGCTCCTAGCATTTACTTTAGGGTCTCAATAAATTATTCAGTCATGAATGGAGCTGCCTCACCTGATATGTGTATTTCCAGGGGGTCACTGGGCATAGACCACTTCTGTGGATCTTTTTTGTAGTAGCCATAACATCTGAACGTCCCCCTGTCACTAAGGGTCATAGGACCCACAGGAAACATGGCTTGCAAATGCCCAGTGAAAATATACTGTGAGTCCAGGGTTCTGGAGAACTTGGGCTCTCCTTCCTTGGTCAAAATAAATCCATCATATCTCTGCCATGATATACATTGAAGGGTCACAGTCTCTCCTACATTCACAAGAGGGCTCTCCACGGCTGACAATCTAGGTTTGCTGTAGGGGTCTCCTAGGAGAGATGGAGGAAATATGTTAATGGACTTACAGTCTCACAGTAACGAGTTGTAGGGAGGCACGCTTTTCCTAAGGTCAGAGCCTGGGGCTGGAGATCCTAAATATAATCTTCTGTGCCACGACCAGCTGCAGGAAAGTTATTGTACCCTGATAAACCTTCAGCGTTTTCATAATAACAGCATATAACCCTCAATGATACTCTTCAATGGAGAAACTTGGACTTGTTCCCAGCCTCCAGTGGAATCTGTTTGCACCGCAGATCTGAGCTTCTCTTTTCATATACATGGTACTTATGAGCCCTTGAGGTCTCCTCACATTAGATAGTCACCCTCATACCTCTGAGGACCACAAAGCCTGCCTGAGCCCTGAGGGTGGTTGGGAATGGATCCTTGAAAAGAAATCAGAGGCTCAGTCCCAGATCCTCCCCCTGCAGATCTCACTGATGAGTCTCAGGACCCTCCTGGTTTCTGCAGTATTAGTTCACCTTTGCTGTTCTCCATTCCATTCCTAAGCTTTTAGCCAGGCCCTGCTTCTAAGTGAGTGTAAAGACCTGAGACAGCAGAGAATACTCACCTGCCAGCACTGGAGACTTGAGTCCCAGAGTCAGTCCTGAAAGAGAGTTTCCTGTGAGTTTATCCCTCACTGAGCACCCCCCCCATCCCTAAAGCCTCCTGAATCCCCTGGGCCTTCCTGAAGTCCAGTCATTGCTGGGCAATGGGGCCAAGCTTCTCTCCTACCCGTCTTCGTATCTCACCCAGACAGAACATGGCTGTGGAAGTGAAGATCATGGTATCTCTTCCCAGAAGCGCCAACCGTGCTTAGGAATAGACAACACACACAGGGTGTTTGGGTCCTTAGGGCTGAGCATTTCCCATCAGCTTCTCAAAAGATCGGTATTCACACAGAAAAGGGAAGTGAGAGCAGCTGGCATTCACCTCTCTACTAATTTGACTTGGACAGACTCCAGACTCAGCAGTGACTTCTCACAGAAAGGTCACCTCCCCCAACACCACTCACATATGCCTGATGTTTCCTCAATGCAGTGTGGGCCCAAAGGCAGCAGCCTGAGGAACTGGTGCTTCCCTTCCCTTACTGGCCCCTTCCTGTTGAGGAGGGCTGAAGGCAGGTCCTTCCCCTTCACAGCTGCAGCATGTGGTTTCCTTCAGGCTTTCCCCCACTTTGTCTGCACATCACTGTGAGTTCCTCACCATGGACATTCATCTAACCAGCCTGGGGATACTTTGTAAATATCCAGGTTGGTGATGTAGGGCAGACATCAACAGCAGAAAAACAGTGAGCTCCTGACTGCAGCTCACATGGAGTTTTATCCTGGAGATGGGCACTTAAGAAAACATTTGGAGATGGGAAAGGAAACACATCTGTTCTTTTTCTTCTGGGTGTTGGTTTCCTCTGAAGAGAACCTGCAAAGAACAGCAGACTTAGCAACATCATCCACTTCCATCTCTGTGGGAACAATATTCACAGTTGTTCTTGCCTCCTCATTGTTTGCGTTTCCTGGAGCAGATCTGGGGCTGATATCTCCTTAATGTCTATCTGTCACTCACTCTCAAATGCCAGTTTGAACACATATTATGTCTGAGGTTCCTCATATGGAGCCTTCTGTGAGCGTTTCACTCCTTAGATTGTCCATGGTATTATGGTGTCTGGGACATTCAGAAGTTCAAACATCTACTGATTCTCAGCACAGGGTACAAGATGTGTTTGGAACATGAGATGTTTATGCTGTTGCATAATGGAGATGCCCACCAATTGTCTGTATTTCTCTCTCTACTATAACTTACAGATTGTCCATTATAATCTGTGTGAAATATGCAGATCATCATGGTCAGGGGAAGAAAAAGAGAAACCAAAGATCTCTGGGTGGAAAAGGAACCATTTCACAGAACACAGCAGGGGCAGTAGATGTAGGATCTTCAGAGGTCAGTAGGGGAGGTTGCTCTCCATATGATAGAAACAGTCAGGAATCCTGGCAAAACCAGGCATCTGTGACTCTGATCCCTCTGTTTTTAGATGTCATTGGGATGCTTCAGCTTACTTCCCACTGATCTGCCCCCCTCTGTGTGTGAATAAAACAGATTCACATTGGTATTGTCCCCCATGGGCATCTGTCTCAACTGGGTGTGTGTCACATTGCTGCCATCCCTGCCAGATGATAAATTTGAAAGATGATAAATTTGAGCAGATGATAAATTTGGAAGAGAGGATGCCGTAATGCAAGGATGTACGCTCAGAACTGATCCCCAGGTCAGCCCACAGAGAAACCTCATGTGGAAGGTCAGGAGCAGTGGGGGCGGGGGATAGAGACAGCTCCCAGCATGTCAGAGAACAACTGGGAGCAAGAACTGAAGTGAGTTGGTGTTATGGTGGTGTGATGTAGTAAATTGTATTTAGGTGATTAAAAATTAATTCTGGGTGCTGGCTACATGGCTCAGTGGTTAGACTTCTTGCTGCACAAGCACATGGATCTGAGTTTGAATCTCCAGAGCTCATGTAAAAAGCCAGGCATGACCACACAAGGCTAGTGCTGTCTAGAATAGAAATGAAAGTATTGTTGGGGTTTTCAGCCTAATTCCAAGTTCAGTAAGAGACCCTGTCTCAAGGGAGTAATGTGAATGATGATAGAACAGGACACCAGCCTTCTCACGTGGTTGTGCACACACGAGCATGCATGTATACACACATAAGCACACCACAAATTAATTCTGGTAAGCGGAGGCTTGCTTTGTTCTACCCTTTATTGGTGGAATGAGTTACATGTGATGTACTTACCTCTCAGTTGACTGGGGGCCTCACATAGCATCCCATCAACCCTCTGTGGTATCTCAGATATTGAGTCACAGCAGTAACACTATGTGTCACTGTTATGTAAAAATAAATAAATAAAAACAACTCCCCAGGAACTGGAGTCTGTGCTAGCCTGCCATTCTCTTCCCATGGCTCTGAATTCATAGTCCACTCTTTTTGTATCACAGTCACTAAGAACATAGCTGGGTGGACTCTGCTGGCTTAGTCCTACAGTCCTGTGTGTCCATCAGTGCCCAACGAGCTGAGGACTATTGCTGTTACTGCTCACTGAAAGGTTCATGGTGGGAAGTAATCTTTCTGTCCTAACATGACCTCAGTCTTGGTCAGGATTTATGTGCATTGTCTTGAATGAGGAGGAGCTCTCTAAGTGTTTGTGTGACTCCCCTGGCAACCACTGTGCTCTTTGTGTATGATTAGTTTGAGCATCCAGGGAGTACAAATCTCCAATACTATTTGTGCAAGATTATGAGAACTTCCTGAGACTGCTGATATTAAATAGTGGCTATCAGGTCCTTGAGGCTGTTTGAAATCAGTATTTATAGGATCATAAGCCTGAAAATGTTTCCTGAGGCCCTTCTGGGTAAATAGTGACTTTTTAGCCTAACTTTCTAACCATGATATATTATTAGATGGACTTGAGGCTAACATGTTTGCCAATATCTTAAGGCTTTGCTCTTTTTGAGATAATGATCTAGAAAGGAATGTGTTTCCAGATTTGATACCCTGCCAACCAATCAATTCAGCACCACAGACCTGGATTCACTTCTTCTTCCAAACAGCAGTGTGCTTATCTGTGGTGGTTCAATAAAAGCAGCCCACATAGGCTTTTATATTTGAATGCTTAGTAACAAAGGAGTAGAACTCTTTGATTGGATTAGAAGAATTAGGAGATCTGGCCTTGTTGAAGGGTGTGTGTCACTTATGGGTGGGTTTTGAGATTTCAAAAGCCTATGGCAGACCCAGTTACTCATCTTCTCAGCCTGTGGACCAGGATATAGCTCTTAGCTACTGCTCCAGCACCATAAGTGTCCATCCCACCATGATGATAATGGACTAAACTTCTGAAACTGTAAATAATTCCTAAATTAAAAGCTTTCTTTTATAAGAGTTGCCTTGGTCATGGTGTCTTTTCACAGCAATAGGCCAGTGACTAAGACAGTATCTAGGAGAAAGATTGAGAACATGTGTATGAACAAGTACATGTGGACCCTCTGCTTGACTTCTGCAGGTATACCAGTTATCCTCAAGCCCAAAGACTCTTGGCAAAGTTGCTAGATTTCTTCTGTTCTTTTCACTGAATTCTTCAGCCTCATTATACTGTAGGTGTTCAGTACATGTATCTGAGTCATTTGAGAATGGAGTTCATCTCTGTTGTTTGGCCTTGAGACCCACTAAGTTTAACAAATATCATCTGTATGACCATTGGTTTTGAACTGCCCACTGAAGCCTAGATTCCTCTGTGGGTTCACAGTTGAAGACAATGAATTTCCTGTGCCCTGAATCCATCAGACAGAAATGCATAATTCAGCAAGGAGGGGTAAGAAAAAGACATGAGTTTGGGAAAGTAACTTGGAGTAGGTGGGTAATCAAGTTGGGAGGGAGACTAAAGAGAGTGAGGGTATCGTAGTTTTAATACATTCTCCATAGTCTCGGGAATTTGAACACCTGATTCACAGGTGGTGGCACTGTTTGGAGAAGTTGAGAAGGTGTAGTCTTGTTGGAGGAAGTATGTTACTGGAGGATCAGAGCTCACCGGAATAAGGGTCCTGAATGGTAAGGGGTCAAGTGGGAGGACTGGGGATTGAAGAATAAAGGAGACAAGAAATAAAGAACACTAAAAGCAATCACTGAGACCAGGAGGTCCTGCAAAAGCTGATGACTTATGCTAAGTTTAAGTTTATGTTTAAGAAGTATAGCATCATATATACTGTTTGCAGGGGAAAGGTCAAGGTCAGCAGAGAGCTACATCACACAATGTTGGCAAAGAGAACACAGAATACCACAGATGCAGCTTCCCTGGGACTGATAATCACAGCCCAGAGCAGGGGAAGTCAAGTCCCCAGAAACCACAACCTTGACCCTTTAGAGAAACTGGCTGTATCACCAGACCAGCCTTGCCAAGACTGTTCCTGGACAATGACACAGAACTAATTCTCCCTTTGTCCTTTCATTGGGGCCTCTGAGAAAGCCTTGGGTAGGTCTAGCTCTCAACTATTGGAGGTTGGCTTTGAAAGTTTAAAGACTTGAACCATTTCCCTTTCCAGTTTTGTTGGAGACCGACTCCGGACAGCTGTGTCTTGAATTTTGTGTGACCTTCCTTACTTTATCAAACCTTGCAAAAACAGGTTCCTGGCCTAACCGCGGGCTGTACAACTTCCTGGAGTAGGTGCTAATCAGCCAGCTGCAGGGGCCTGGGACCAAAGCAACCTCACCCTTCCTTAGGAATTTTTCATTCTTCTCTCCTTTTGCTTCCTCTGCTCCCCCTCCCTGCCTGAAGCCCTGCTTATAAGCCTCAATACCCAGTCAATAAACAAGACCTTGACGCGACTCAGACTGACTCTGTCTTCCCTTATGCGCCTGGTCTCCTTTCTCTCTCGCCCCCATTGATCTTTCAGGAGGTGCCTCCTCGGGTCTCCCCAAAAACCTGGCCCGCGGGACGGGTCACAGTTTGTTCTTTTTGTGTTTGTGGTTCAAGAGGTGAGCTCTCAACATCTTACTCCAGCCACCATGCCTGCCTACTGCCTCAGCCCTGCCATTATAGACTCTAACCCTTTGGAACCATAAGCCAAAATAAAATCTTCTATAAATTGTGTTTTATCACAACAACAGAAGAGTAACTAATACATAAGCTGGTACCAGAGTTGGCTGTTGCTGTGAAGAACCTGAGCATGTTGGGTATTTTGAAGGAATGTGGAAGACTCTGGGACACTGGGCTAGAAAAGAAATTGGATTCTATAAGCAAACTTAAAAGGCCATCCTAGTGCAAGCCTGGCAAACAGTTCTGAGACTAAGGCAAACTGAAGAGTTTAACTGTAAGTGGGAGAGAGACCACCCCTGTGATATTTGGGCAATGATCTTGTTTTATTCTGCCCATCCTAAGAATGTGTCTGATGCCAAATTAAAAAGTAATGGTATAATTTCTTTGGTGGGGGCAATTTTGAGACAAAATAATATTGAACCTGTTGTGTGATTGTTATTAATGACTGTTGAGAAAAACTATACAGAGAAGAAGAAGAAAATTAGTAGTACTCTTCCATGCTTTCTCCATCAGTTCCTGCCTCCAGCTCTGCCCTGCTTGAGGTCCTGACTTCCTTTCATTATGGACTGGGACCTGGGAGCTGTAAAATGCAGTAACCTTTTCCTCCCCCATGTTGCCTTTGCTCAAGATGCTTTATCACAGAAATAGAAAATTAACTAGAACTGGGGGTTACAGTAATCAGCATGAACTTTATACATGATGAGACTGTCATGTGTAAGAACATATTTTATTGTTAGTGGTGCATACATGCATTAACAAATTTAATCCACTATATGCAAAAGATTTATACACCATGAACAATGCATTTACACAGGCTTGTAAATCTGGGTCATTCAGAAGTTAGTATCATCCATTACATCAAAAAGGAAAAAATAACATATATGATGAAGGCATTCATGTAGATAAAGAAATGTCAATTTCTCACACCCATTCATTACAAATAGTCATAGAAAATTAGGAATAGAGAAGTTTTTCCATCTGAATAAGATAATACACTAAGGCTGAAACTAACATTACATTTAACAATAAGAAGCATAAAATCTCATTTTAAATCAGGAAAAAGGCAGCAATATACCTTCTCTTCATAGGTTGCTCAGCTTTGTGCTTGAATTCCTAACTATTACACTAATTAAGGACAGTAAGTAAATTAAAGGCCCATATTAGGAACAATTGCTTGTATCAATGTAGATAACACAGAAATGAATTATTTTTCAAAAATGACTTCATGGAACTAATCAGCATTTATAGCAAAGTGGCTCACAATTGACTCATTTACACGCCAGCTGCTTTTATAAATACTAGCAGTGAACAATGGAATTTTAAGTTTAAAAATACATCTGTTTCAACACAGACACTGCCTGCATCTGCTGTGATTGATTGATAAATAAAACACTGATTGGCCAGTAGCCAGGCAGGAAGTATAGGCAAGACTAGGAGAGAGGAGAATTGAGAGAACAGGAAGGCAGGGAGGAGGAGATGCCAGCCTGCTGTCCAGGGAGCATGATGTAAAGACAACAGGTAAAGCCACAGAACACGTGGCAATGTATAGATTAACAGAAATGGGCTGAGTATAAGAGTAAGAGCTAGACAATGGTAAGCCTGAGCTAATAGCCGAGCAGTTTAAATAATATAAGCGTCTGTATGTTTATTTTATAAGTGGGCTATGGGACTGTCGGGGCTTGGTGGGACCTGGAGAAAAAAAACTCTAATTGCATGCATCAATTGCACAAAGTGAACCATCCAGTAACTGCTGGAAGCAGATGAAGAGACCCACATCCAAGCACCAGGCTGAGCTACGGTGGGAGTCCAGTCCATAAGAGGGAAGAGGGATTATAGGAGCAAGGGGCAGTCAAGATCATGATGGGGAAATCCACAGAGACAGATGACCCAAACTTGTGGGAGCTCACAGACACCAGACCAACAGCTGTGGAGCCTGCATGGGATTGAACTAGTACCTCTGCATGTGGGTGACAGTTTTGTTGCCTGGTCTGTTTGTGGGACCCCTGGTAGTGGGACAAGAGTCTATCCCTGGTACATGAGCTGACTTTTTGAAGCTCATTCCATACGGTGGGATGTCTTGCTCAGCCTTGATGGGGGTGGGGGTCTTGGCCCTGCCTCAACTGAATGTGCCAGGCCTTGTTGACTCCCTATAGGAGGCCTTAACCTTTCTGAGGAGTGGATGGGGGTAGATTGGGGGAGGTGGAGAAAAAACAGGAGGAGGGGAAGGAGGAGGGTTGGTATGTAAAATGAACAAAAATAATTAAGTTAAAAAATATATCTGTTTCATACATCAATTCTAAACTCCAAATAAATGATATTCAGTTGGTATTATGAAGTTGCCTATAAAGTGGCTACTGTAATTATAGCCAATAATTAGGCAAGGCTGTGTGCACCAGGATTGTGGGAGGAGTTATTTAATTTTTTCCCAAATTTATTATATGAGTACTGTATTTACAACATTTACACCCCTCCATCTTTCTCCTCCAACTCCTCCCATGTATCCCCACACTCTATCAAATTCATGGCCTCTTCTTTAATTATTATTAAGAAAAATTGTATTTTCAGAGCCATGTCAGCAGTACCACACCAGAGAGTTTCTTCAAATACAAGCGTGTTGACTGCAAGCCTCCATGTTTCAAGAAAACTACACGAAGAGTATGTGTTGAAAGCCTAGGTTTCAAGAGACCACATGCATTCCAATCTTGTTGTCCACTTTGGACTGTGATTTTTGAGCATGATTTTTGCTACTTCAGCCAAGTTCTCGGTACTCATTAGAGAAGATGAAAGCTCATGATGCAGGTGGGGAATGTGGTAGCATCTGAAAAAGGAAAATGGGAGCTGGAGAGATGGCTCAGAGGTTAAGAGCACTGACTGCTCTTCCAGAGGTCCTGAGTTCGTTTCCCAGCAACCACATGGTGGCTCACAACCATCTGTAAAGAGATCTGGTGTCCTCTTCTGGCCTGCAGGCAGAACACTGTATACATAGTAAATAAACAAATCTTTTAAAAAAAAGGAAAATGTTGCCGGGCGGTGGTGGTGCACGCCTTTAATCCCAGGACTTGGGAGGCAGAGGCAGGCAGATCTCTGTGAGTTCGAGGCCAGCCTGGTCTACAAAGTGAGTTCCAGGAAAGACGCAAAACTACACAGAGAAACCCTGTCTCGAAACACAAAAACACAAAGGAAAATGTTACATGAAAGGGAGGAAAAACAGAAGCTACACAAGGGTGGTGACCCAAACCCAATTTACAGGACAGAGTTATCCCTCCCCCGAATCACTGGAGATGTGAAGAGATAGGAGATAGTCAGCTAAAGTATACATCTAGACCAATGGTTCTCCACCTTTGTAATGCTGTGACCCTTTAATACAGCTCCCCATGTTGTGGTGACACCGAACCATAAAATCACTTTCTTGGGAGCTGGAGAGATGGCTCAGAGGTTAAGAGCACTGGCTGCTCTTCCAGAGGTCCTGAGTTCAATTCCCAGCAACCACAGGGTGGCTCACAACGATCTGTAATGAGATCTAGTATCCTCTTCTGGCCTGCAGGCATGCATGCAGACAGAACACTGTATATGTAATAAATAAATAAACCTTTTTAAAAATTACTTTCTTTGCTACTTCATAACTGTAATTTTGCTGCTGTTATGAATTGTAATGTGAATATCTGATACACAAGATATCCGATATGTGTCTCCCAAAGGGGTCGCAAGACACAGATTGAGAACCACTGATATAGGTGGAGAAATAACATCATGATATGCTGAAGAAGACCTCTCCACCACAACATCCAAATGTTTCCCTGCATTCAGATCACATTTACTCTCCAGATATTCTCTGAAAACGGTTCTCCACTGTATTTCCCAGATGTTCTTACAGAACCACGTGAGTCCTCAGACTTATTCCGAGGTCTCTGCCACCATGACAGATGTGCTACTTTCTCTCCTGGCTGCGTGTTGGGTCTGTCTCTGGCTGTGCTGAGCTTCAAAGAGCAGAATGCCAAGGAGTACAAGGACCAAGACAGATACCCCCATCCTGACGAGATTCTCCTTTGTGTAATCCTGGGGCTTTGAGACTGGAGATTGTAGAAAAAGAGGTCACAGAGGTCAGGGCAGATGAAAATCACCCCCAGGAGACTGCTTTCCCCTGGATAGGACTTGATCTTCTGTATTGAGTTCTGTGGCTAAGAATTCTCCTTACTCACCTGACTGGGGGTCTGACATGTTTGGTGATGGCCAGATAGGCTGAACTGTATCTAAGAACCAAAGAAAAAAAGGTAGGATATAGGGGGCTGGAGAGATGGCTCAGTGATTAAGAACACTGGCTTGCTGGGCAGTGGTGGCACACGATTTTAGTCCCAGCACTCAGAACCAGAGGCAGGCAAATCTCTGTGAGTTCCAGTCCAACCTGGTCTATAAAGTAAGTTCTAGGAACTTAGAGAAACCTGAGTTTTACACAGAGAAGCCCTGTCTCAAAAATCAAAAATACAAAAAATAAAAAAAAAGCACTGGCTGCTCTTCCAGAGGACCCAGATTCAATTCCCAGCACTCACATGGCAGCTCACACCAGTTCCAGAGCTTCTGCCTCATGCAGGCAAAACACCAAGGAACATAAAATAAAATAAACATTATTTTTGAAAAAGTAGGATGTGTGAAATACTTGAGACTCAAATGTTTTTTCTAGTTCCCAAGTTTTTAATTTCTTCCTTTCTCCCTCCCCTGCACCATGATTTTAAGAGAAGGGACACTTTAAAAAAGTCAAGTCATGCCAGGCGGTGGTGGTGTATACCTTTAATCCTAGCATTTGGGAGGCTGAGGCAGGCAGATCTCTGTGAGTTCAAGGCCACCCTAGTCTACAGAATGAGTGATAGGACAGCCAGGACTGTTACACAGAGAAACCCTGTCTCATAAAAAAACAAAAACAAAAACAAAAACCACCAAGTCAGGTATGGTGGCACATACTTTTAATCCCAGCACTCAGGAGGCAGAGGAAAGCAGATCTCTGTGAGTTGAAGGTCAATCTGGTCTACATAGTAGGTTGCAGGCCAGCCAGGGTTATATAGTAAGACCCTTCCTCAAAAGCCTCTCTCTCTCTCTCTTTTTCTCTCTCTCTCCAGAATACATAGACCGTCACAGAAATCTACAACTGGTCAAAATACAGAGTAAGAGGGCCTGGAAAATATCATGACAGACTCCAAATGGCCCAGTTAAGAATTAGGCCTCAATTCCTGCTTCTTGAAACTGAGCAGGCAGTTTCTGAGGAAGTCACAAAAAGTACAATCAATCTTTAATGCCCTGAACAGCAGCTCAAGTTATACAAGGCCTGAGCCAGCCCCTACAGCCTCACAGCAGCTCAAGGTAATAACCAAATAAGGACAAAGCCTGAGGCTTGTCCAGGCCTGCCCCAAAATGAAAAAGCCATAGTCTTAGCTAGCCCTTACTAGTTCGAACCAATTGAGCATATACTAACATAATTGCCACTTGCTTAAGCCAATAATATCTAAAGTGACCTTACTGCCCTAGGAACTCCCCTTGGCTATGCTTAAAAGGAGTTCAGACATCCCTCTTGGGGTCTTCATCATCTTGCCTTTGTATGGGATGGCAGGCCCCAGCATGCTGGAATACAAAAGCTCTTGTTGAATGTATACGTGGATGGTGATATTTTGTGGAACTTCTCCAGAACCCCAACATTAGAGATTAGAGAACAGCTAATCATGAGTTGCACACCCCTACTGGCACAGCTACAATACAACCCCTATGCCTAAAACTCAGGGAATATTTCAGAAGAGAGGGCAGAAAGATTATAAGAACCAGAGGACTAGGACACTGGGACATCTGCTATGAGACAGTGTCTTCTATCTATGGCAAGGAATTGTACCCATGAATTCAAATATATATATATATATATATATATATATTTGCCTAAACAAGACCTGCATGATAAAACCAGTTGACATTGACATGCCGGTGTGGGTGGGTGAAATCTCACAAGATCCCACGCCTAAATGAGGAAGCTACAGGCAACTGGTGGCAGCTGGGATTCAGTCTTTTCCAGGGAAGAGCCCTTGGTTGGTGATTCAATCTCAAGTGGTCAGCCCTAAACACACACACACACACACACACACACACACACACACACACACACACACACACACACATGAGCAACACTAAATGTAATACTGTGTTTGTATACTGCATGTTGTATTTATATATACATACACATAGCACAGTAATTAAAGAAAAGGTCATAAATTTGAGAGGAAGTGAAAGATACATAGGAAGAACTGGAGAGGGAGGAGAAGGGGTAGAAATAGTGTAAATACAGTTATGTGTGAAATTCTTTTTAAAACTGAAGTAAATAAATATAAAAAATAAAGAAGGAAAAATATTTGAAGTTTTTATTTATGCTAATTTCACTGTAATATTTTTATAGAATAATTTTATAAAATAATCCAAATTTCTTGGGGGAGTTGCTGTTTATTTGTTTGTTTGAGACAGAATCTCTTTTTGTAGCCTTGGCTGTCATTGAACTTTCTACGTAGACCAGACTAGCCTTGAACTCACAGAGATCTGTCTGCCCTTACCTCTTGAGTTCTGAGATTAAAGATGTGCACTACCCTGCCTGGCAAGTCCAAATTTCTTAATTTAATTTCTTACTCTGTTTCTTCTCCCCCTCCCTCCCTCTCCCCTTCATTCATTCATTCCTTTCTTTCTTTCATATGTCTGTCATTGTTTGCCTTCCTTCCTTCCTATCTGTCTTCTTTTCTTCTTCTTTCTTTTCTTTGGAATAGGGTCTCATGTAGCCCAAGCTCATCCTCAACTCACTATGTAGCCTAGGATGACTTTGAACTTCTGACTCTCCTGCTTCCATTTTCTGCGTGCTGCAGTTATAGGTACCAAACATGGTTCCGAGGTAATTTATAGTGCCAGGACTTCCTGCATGCTAGGCAATAACTCTATACCCCTGGCCCATTTCCTGTGTTTCTTCTTTCCTGTAAATGCACATTGCTTTCATCCTATAACTTCATGCAGACCTGTATGAGCCCTCCCTTTTGTAGGAGCTTCCCAATGGTCTCCTTGCTGGATGCTTCAGACCTACTCTGATCTTTGTGTTCAAATTTTGCATCAGAGTCACTTTAGAACAAAGTTTTCCTGAATTTCACTAAAACATCTCATTAGAGCCAAGAGTTCTCCTGGGAGTAGGGCAATGAGCACAGACAGAACAGGTAAGATTGCTCTGATCTAAGACCCTGAGTTCCACAGGGGGATTGTGGTATGACGACAAGTAGGGTGATGAGTTCCAATAACTACAGCATCTTTAGGTGTCTCTAAAAGGGGAGGTCAAAACACTTATTCAGAATTCTGCCTGATACTGCTGAGCTAGGAAACACAGAAAGGAAGTAACTGTTCTCCCCTTGGTCAGAAGGAAAGTGTCCATTATTTTCAATGACTGACATAGCAGGGTGACTTTCTCTCCAGGACATACCATGGGACTTGGCTTCCACTGAGAGGGAGAGTGTGACAGGGAACTGTCCTAGAGGAAGAAAGATGGGTGGGGGGGCTGCCTATCTTGTTCTGAGCCTGTCTCTGAGGACTTGGATCTCTTTCGGCTTTCTATGACTTTGCTCCTGCCCCACTTCCTGGTCTTTGGGTCCTGAGATCCTCATCTTTCACCCTAACCATCATCTCCTCTTCGTCATTTGGTCCTCTGCAGTTTTGAGTCTCTGAGTGGAGCCACTCGGCTCCTTAACTATAATCAGGAGGTCCACTGACCTCTTGAAGGAGATATGTTGTACATCAGTCGGCTCCTCAACTATAATCAGGAGGTCCACTGACCTCTTGAAGGAGATACGTTGTACACCATGACATCTGTACCAGCCCCTGTGGGAGTGCTTACAAGGCACTAGGGGAGGTTGACCCTGAGAGCCCAGGGCTGTGGATGGGGTCAGTTCCTCATCCTGTGGACTGAGAAAACCTTTCATAACCTATGTAAGAGCAACGGGGAAGAGTCAGGTTCTCTCCAGGGGAAAGGGTGAGGGCCTTGCAAAGTCAGCAGTGAGAGCTTCCTGGGCAGCCCTGCAGGAAAATGGGCTGAGGTTTGGTGGGAAAGCTGGTGTCTGTCAAACACCTGTCTCCTCACATCCTACCTGTGGGTGCCACTGCCACCACCCACACATACAAGGCTCTGGTTCAGTTTCCCTCATCCTCCTAACTCCTGGGACTCCCTTAGGAAAATCAGGGATCATGGCAAAAACTTACCCTGTCAACAACTAATTGAGTCAATGATGGAGCTTCCTTACCTGAGACATGTATTTCCAAGGGATCACTGGGTTCCGACCACACCTGGGGACTGATGACGTAATAGCCGTAACATCTGAATATCCACCTCTGGCTGGGGGTCACAGGGCCCACAAGAAACAAGCCCTGGAATTGCCCAGTCGAGTTTATAAACACTGAGTCCAGGATCAAGGAGGCCTTCTGTTCTCCTTCCTTAGTCAGAACAAACCTGTTAAAACTCAGCTGTGAGCCACACTGAAGGATAACAGTCTCTCCTGAGGTCACCACAGCACTGGGCTGGACAGAGAGGCTGGGTTTACTATAGAGTCCTAGAAAAGAAAGTAATAACGTGTTTAGTGGACTTAGAACAGTCCACATTGGCTTCCAGTGTTGGTCTGTGGGACAAGGAAACTTCTGAAAGCAGACCCCTTTCCTGAGGGCAGAGCCTGGGGCTGAGTGTTCTCTCACCTGTCACTACGAGCTCCAGAGGGTCACTGTGCACTGACCATCCCACAGGGGTCTTATAGTAACATCGATATCTTCCTCCATATTGTTTTTCCATTGATGGGATCAAAAACTCAGCCTTGTTTGTGACCTCCATTGTGTTCTGTGTGCGCCAGGGATGTGGACCCCCCTCTTTGTAAAGACGATATTCCTGGGCCCCTGTGGTCACCTTACATGAGATGGTTACCTGCTTCCCTCTGGCAACCACTGGTCCTGACTGAACACTGAGGGTTGGCTTGGAGGGATTCCCTGAAATGAAATGAGGGGCTCTGTCATAGGACATTCCCCCTCAGATGGCAGCCTTCATTTCCAGCACTCTACCGCCCCCTGCCCCCCGCCTCCCACCCCCGTATCACCTGATGTTCTAAAGCCCGGCTGAGCAGGGATATCTTCAGGTCCCCAGGGAGAAGTGATCTGAAACAGCTGGACGCACACTCACCTGCCAACACTGAGGTCTCTTGGCCCAGATTCAGCCCTAGAAGAGAATCCCTTGTCAGAACTTTGCACCTAATGCTGACATAAGCAAGCCTTCCAACTTCACTGAAACCACTTAAACACCCCGGAGTTTCCTGATTGGCTAGAGCCTGGCTGTGTGGACCGTAATCCCCTTCTCTTCTTCCAATCTTACCCAGACAGAGCAGAGCTGTGAAGGTGAAGGTCATGGCACCTTCTCTCAGGGGCTGCAACTGTGCTAATGGAAGAGACCACAGAGTCTGGCCAAAGAGCCAAACAGCACAGAGTATGAGATCTTTAGAGAGAGACTGGATGCCTGGCATCACATGGGTGTTTCTTAGGAATACTCACGGGAAGAGGAACAACGCTCCCTAGGCGACTCTCATTTCCCTAGGGCTGTGGCTTGGATGCGCTCCAGAACGTCTTACAAAATTGACCATCTCCCCTAACCTCTCTCACTAAGAAGGCAGCAGCAAACAGATTTGTTACCTCCTTTGCTGGGCCCCCTTGCAGTTGAAGGTGGCTGAAGACTGACCCTTCTCTCTTAAAAACTCTCCGTGGAGAATCCACTCTTTCGGCTCATCCATCTGCACAGCACGGTGGGGTCTTGACAGTGATCAGTCATTCCCGCAGCCATAAAATCGCTTCTGAGACGATACAGGGTGATGTTGCAGCGCAGGTGCAGAGGAGCGGGCACACTGAGCATCCAACTGTGCCCCGTACGCGGCGTTTCATCCTGGGGATGGACCCAGAAGAGAACGCAGCTGTTCTCAGGGTTCTGGGTGTGGGTGTCCTGTGGCGAGCAGCCAGCTGCATGGAACTCCCTTTCTTGTCTTAGCAACATCACCCCACCCCATATCTCTTGGAACAACCTTCAGAACTGTTCTTGCCTTCTCAGTATTCATGGGGTTTTTTTTGGGGACTGAGTTCTTTTGCTGAAATAGGGTTGCTTTCTCCTTAATGCCTGCATGTTACTCACTGCTGGTGCCAGTTGGAACACTGGCGTCTCATCTCTAAGGTTCCTCATTTAGAACCTGTTGTAAGCACTTCACTGCTCAGATTGTTCATGCTGCTGTGCTGTCTGGGACGTTCAGAATTTCAGTCATCACTGATTTCCTGCCCAGGGTGCAACATGAGTTAGGGGCGCGAGATGTTCATGTTGTTGCACAGTTTAGGTGCTCACTAATGTGTGTGTGTCTCTCTCTTTCTGCTCTGAGTATTTACAAATGGTCCATTATAATATGTGTGAAAACTGCAGATCATCATGGGTCAGGGAAAGAAAAAGAGAAATAAAAGATCCCTGAATGAAGAAGAATCCATTTCACAGGACACAGCTGGGGCCGTGGATGTAAGATCTTCAGAGGTCTGTAGGGGAGGTTGCTCTCCATGTGGTGGAAGTAAGGTTAGGGATCCTGGCAAAGGCAGGCTCTGTGGCTCCAATTCCCTTGTTTGCAGAGGAGCACTGACATGCCTAAGCTCTCTATGTGGTGGAAGTAAGGTTAGGGATCCTGGCAAAGGCAGGCATCTGTGTAGATGTACCCAACCATCTTATTAAATAAGAAACACAGAGCCAATTCAGAGAAGAAAACCAAGAGGTCAGAGCTAAGAGCCTCACCCTTCCTGATTCAGCAATCCTCTTCAGCCAAGAGAGCTCTCCGCAAGGGACCTACTTCCTGTGTATATGTCTTTATATAGTCTAGCTGTTCTGCCTTCTCATTGGTTGTAAACCCAAACACATGACTGCCTCGTCACTGCCTGTATGTACCGCCCTCCAGGTCCTTAAAGGCGTGTGCCACCGCCGACACGCACTTGCTATTCCTCTAATAGCTCTGACACCCAGGCAACTTTATTTATTAACATACAATTAAAATCACATTTCAGTACAAGTAAAATACCACCACATTTCCCCTTTTCTATTTTAATAAAAAGGAAAAAAAAGAAAAAGGTTATAACTAACAAAAGAAAAACTATATACAAAAGTACAATGACTATATACAATATATACAAGTAATAAATGTCTAAACAATGTCTAGTCCATTTGTATTTGACAAATTCAGAGAAAATAATTTCATTATCTATCCTATTTTGTTAAGTCCAAAATGTATCTAATTCACTTTCTATCCTAATTAATCTTCAACTATAACTAACTAACCTTCAACTATAACTAACTAATCTTCAACTCCCTCAGTGACCCAAGAAGGAAATAATATTAGCTAACAAAAATAAAAACAGGAAGTGCATACAAGCAACTTCCAAAAAATTTGTGAGTTGACAGAAACAGCCAGCTCCCTGGACAGTCACCTGAGGTTTCTCCACAGTGCTGGGGCATCATCTTCAGCCTATAGGCTTAGTGTATCTGACAGACTCATTTGTGAAGTAGGATGTACACAAGGTCAACAGTTCAACCTCACATTGGGTGCAGTCCATGTACCAGAAACATCTGAATTCCACTAGTGTCATGTTATGATTCAGGATTTAAAATTCTGGAAATTGTTGATGGTTTTTTAATTCAACTGTCCATTCTTCTTGGCTGTGTATATATGGCTTCATCTCAGCATCCCATTCTTCTCCACATCCCTCTATCAAATGCCAGTCTACTATTGAGAGGCGTGAGCTTAGTTACTCTTCAAGAATAACTGTTTCAGCTGCTGTTCCATTGCACATCAGAAGCCATCGGCCCACTGCCTATTCAGCTGCCTTCGAAGAAAAGGGCACTGTACCTTTTCCGAATTGCGAAGGCCACTTCAGGGATGGTGCCATATTGTCCTGGCCTCAGAAGATGCCTTTTGATAAAGCCATAACCACACTTGTTTTGGCAAGAATCAGTAGTCCTTTGTTTCATGTCCTGTCTGTCCATTTTGTCAGCAGTTGATTCAAGGATACTTTGTTGTCCAGTGGCTAACTTTTGCCACAATGAAAGTTAACTCCATATGCAGTTTCTTCAATGCCCATATTTTCTCTGAAGTAGATTGGTACTTCCAGGAGCCGACATGTCTCATAATCATAACAAAGAAGAAAAATTTTCTAAGTTATTAAAACATTTTAAATGCCATATTCTGTAGATCTCTGAAGGGTTTGAAGATGACCTGTCTAAAATATATCTGCTCAATTTTTAAAACATATCTAATATGACTACAAGTTCTATTGTAATGTCTAACTGCTAACTTTCATTTCTTTATATCCTAATAGTTGGTAATAATAACATTCAAGGATCAGAAAATTGCATTGTTAAATGAATGGTATAAGTACAATTAGAAATATACATATAGCATTTTCTAACAATATCAATTTCAATATATATAACTTGTATACAATATAAAACAATCCAATCCAATGTAAAATATTTAAAACTAGTAATTGTCTTTTTCTTCTTCTTTCTTTCTTTCTCTGTCTTTTTTTTTAAACAAGAACCTTAAATCTAATTTCCTTTGCTTAGCCTTTTTCCTAACCCTTGACAACAACTTGTAACCAACCCCCCTAAACAATGAAAATTATCCCAGACCCAAACCCATTAAAAAGACCAAAAAACCACCCACCCCACACCACCTCTTTGGGAATGTGGGTGTCGTATTCTTAAAATTGCTTCCTGCTGGGTATGGGCAAAGTTGTTTTTATCCTAAAAGAAAAATTTTAGGTTAATTGTCAAATTCTAGGAAAGGTAACTGTGTCCTTCATTATCCAGTCTGTGTATAATGCCAAAGTTCAGGGTTTATCTCAAGTCCTTATTCAAGTAGTCTTTGAGACTGGATCATCTCAGCTAGTCATCTCAAAATTGCTCTGAGCACCTTGTAGTTCAAAGCTGATCTGTAGATGATGTTTGTCAGCTTAGTGATATTATTATTGTCCACATGGAATTGTTGTTGTTGTGGGGCCCCAACTTCTTCCTGGAGACTTCAGTTGATGTTAGGCCTGGCCGTGATTTCCTGCAGAAAACTGATAAGAGATTCGAACACAAAGACATATATATGCAGCTAATTGAAGCCTTTTTTCTAGAATTAATTAGTACTCTATATGACCATTCATATCTTAACAAAGGTTAAAACGTATATATATCTATATATCTATATATATTAATCTTGTAAATTTTGATATAAAATTTATACTTTAAGAAAAGTTTAAAGAATCAGAATAGAATCAAAGAGTTGAGATTAGTAATAGAATAGTCCCTTAATTAATTTGGCTTTTCTCCTGTCCCATAGCAGAAGATGGCTCTTTTATTCTGGCATGATACAGGGAGTTTGCATTTTCCTTTTAACAACATGCTTGAGTTTAAAGAAGGAGAGAACCGTTCTCCAACTCCAAAGTCAGCTTTAATTTTTAATTGAACTGGGACTATTAGAAGACCAATAGTGTTAAATCTTTAGAGAAAAGCAGAAACAAACATTTAGGAAGACATAAAATTTTTTAGATAATATATACCCATATGCCGTTTCATTCTGTTTCCTGGGATAGATGATTTGTCCCTTTTCTTCAGTTGTCTCATTTGTCCAGTGTTCTTCAGATTCCTTAACCTTCATTCTCCTAAAAGACAAAAACAAAAACCTTTCCCCAAGACTAATTTTGGGGATGTTCCTTTTTGGCAAGTTATTATCTGATTAAATGAAAAGACATGTGTTACTGGTATAAGTTAGTTTAAATTGGATGTTCATGCTTGTTGAAGAACTATCACCTCCTCTAATTAAGAGGTTTCTCTTGTTCAAATCGAACCTTTATCAATCTTGATGGTACCCACAGTTTATCTTCTCCTGTAGAAACAAAAGCAAAACCTCGTCCCCAACGTAACACATACCCTGGTTTCCATTCTGAGGTCAGCACATCCTTGAAGTATATAGGCTGATTTAATTCTGTAGTTTTTTCTATTATCCAATGTCTCTCTGCAGCTGCTGTTCCTTTCTCATTAGCATTAAGAAAATTCAAAGTTAATAGAGCATTATGCAGTCTATTTCTGGGGGGTTTTGTTATCCCTTTCTGTTTATTTAGCATATCCTTTAGAGTTCTGTTTGATCTTTCTATAACTGCTTGACCTGTAGGATTATGTGGTATGCCTGTAATATGTTTTATATTGTAATAAGCAAAAAACTGTTTCATTTTAACAGAGACATATGATGGAGCATTATCAGTTTTGATTTGTGCAGGTATACCCATGATGGCCATAACTTCTGGCAAATGAGTGATTACAGAATCAGCTTTTTCAGAACTCAAAGCAGTTGCCCACTGAAATCCTGAATAAGTATTCATAGTGTGGTGTACATATTTCAGTTTTCCAAATTCTGCAAAGTGAAACACGTCCATCTGCCAGATTTCATTCCTTTGAGTACCCTTTGGTTTACATCCTGCTGGTAATGGCGTTTGATTGTAGAAGGAACAAGTAGGACATTTCTTTACTATTTCTTTGGCTTGTTGCCAGGTTATGGAAAAATCCTTTTTTAAACCTTTACTATTGACATGATGTTTTTTATGAAATTCTGAGGCCTCCAGCACATTTCCTATTAATAACTTATCAATCTCATCATTGCCTTGTGCTAGAGGGCCTGGCAGACCAGTATGGAATCAGATGTGAGTTATATATAAAGGATGACTCTTTTTCCTGATTGTATCTTGTAACTGAATAAATAGTGAAGATAATTCTGAAGCATCAGGGATAAATTCTGCAGTCTCAATATGTAATACTACTCTTTCAGCATACTGAGAGTCAGTAACTATGTTGAGAGGTTCTGAAAAATCCATTAATACCAACAGAATAGCATACAATTCTGATTTTTGAACTGAATTATAAGGACTTTGAACCACTTTACTTAAATTTTCTGATTTGTAACCTGCCTTTCCTTGTTTGTTGGCATCTGTATAAAATGTACGAACTCCAGATATGGGTTTTTCCCATACAATTCGAGGCAAGATCCAATCAGCTCTCTTTATAAGATCAATTCTATCGCTTTTGGGATATTTGCTGTTAATTTCTCCCAAAAAATTACTGCAAGCTCTTTGCCAAGGTTCACTTTCTGTCCATAATTTTTAAATGTCCTCCTTAGTTAAAGGTACGACAATTTCTGTTGGGTCTATTCCTGCTAATTGACGAAGTCTCAATTTTCCTTTCCAAATCAAGTCAGAGATTTTTTCCACATAAGTTTTTAATTTTTTATTTGGTTTATTTGGTAAAAATATCCATTCCAATATAATATCTTCCCTCTGCATTAATATTCCTGTAGGAGAATGCCTAGAAGGTAAAATAACCAAAATGCAATCCAGCTTTGGATCAATCCGATCCACGTGCCCTTCATGTACTTTCTTTTCTACCAAGGCCAATTCTTTCTCAGCTTCAGGTGATAATTCTCATGGACTATTTAAGTCCTTGTCACCTTCTAAGGTTTTGAACAAATTATGCAGTTCATCACTTTTTACCCCAACAATAGTTCGTAGATGAGAAATATCTCCAAATAATCTTTGAAAGTCATTAAGAGTCTGTAGTCTATCTCTCCTAATTTGCACCTTTTGGGGTCTAATTTTTTGTAGCTCTATTTTATATCCTAAATAATTAATAGAATCTCCTCTTTGTATCTTTTCAGAAGCAATTTGTAAGCCCCAGCAAGGCAAAATTTTCTTTACTTCTTCAAACATTCTTTCTAAAGTATCTGCATTTGAGTCAGCTAGTAAAATATCATTCAGATAATGATAAATTATAGATTTAGGAAATTTTTTACATATCACTTCCAATGGCTGTTGTACAAAATATTGGCACAGAGTTGGGCTATTCAACATTCCCTGTGGGAGGACCCTCCACTGAAATCTTTTAACCTGTTGAGAATTATTATAAGTAGGCACTGTGAAAGCAAATCTTTCTCTGTCTTTTTCTTGTAAGGGTATTGAAAAGAAACAGTCTTTTAAATCAATAACTATGAGAGGCCATCCTTTTGGTAACAGAGTAGGCAAAGGAATACCAGATTGTAGAGAGCCCATTGGCTGAATTACTTTGTTAATTGCTCTAAGGTCTGTTACCATTCTCCGTTTACCAGATTTCTTCTTAATAACAAATACAGGAGAATTCCAAGGGCTGGTTGATTCCTCAATATGCTGAGCATTTAACTGTTCTTCTACCAGCTCTTCTAAAGCCTGGAGTTTCTCTGTTGTTAAAGGCCATTGCTGGACCCATACAGGCTTGTCTGTTAACCATTTTAAAGGTAGAACTGTTGTTGTTTTTGGAAGATCATCAGTTGTTGTGCCCTGTTCTTGTATAATATGATGGCTGGTGACCACTCAGAATAATGCCTTCTAATATTTCTCTCAGAAACATGTGCTAGTTTATGATTTGTTTCTGAGATTGGAGGGATGTTAATCTGAGTATTCCATTGTTGTAACAAGTCTCGACCCCACAGGTTCATAGCTATGTTAGCCACATATGGTTTTAATTTTGCTCTCTGTCCTTCTGGACCTATACATTCGAGCCATCTTGCACTCTGTTTCACCTGAGATAATGTCCCAATTCCTAACAGTTGAATGTTTACCTCCTGAAGAGGCCAAGTTGGATGCCAAAATTCTGGTGCAATTATGGTAACGTCCGCACCTGTGTCTACCAGACCAGACAACAAAACACCATTTATTTTTTATCGATAATTTTGGTCTTTGTTCATTAATAGAAGTTTGCCAAAAAATTTTCTTTATGTTTTCTCCTGAATTTTCTATTCTCTCTGTTTCATCATCCTGACCAGCATGACTTATTCCAATAGGCATTTGGTTATTTAATTGCTCTGAGTAGGGGTTTCCTCTACAACTGCAGGAAAGGTTTGAACTGGATTTGCTATTGGGGCCTGCATGAGGCCCCTCTGGGAGTTTCCCGAAGACTGAGGCAAAGGATTACCCTGTCTGTCCCTTGTTGATCTATATTCGTTGGTCCAGTGTTTTCCCTTACCACACCTTCTGCATACTCCAGAAGGAAGGGGCATTCTGTTGCCATTGTTCCTTGAGGAAACATTCTTTCTAGGAATGACCTGTGTACAGTCCCTTTTCAAATGTCCTTGCTTTCCACATCCAAAACATCTAACATTCCTCAAACCTTTTGAAATTGCTTCTGCTACCCACATATCATCATGCTCATGAGCTTCAACATTAACCGTGTCTCTAATCCAATCTTCCAAAGGTACAGATCTTGCCTTTAATGGCCTGATTATTGTTTTGCATGCTGCATTTGCATTCTCAAAGGTCAAAGATTCAATTATTATCTTACTAGCTTCTGAATCCGGGACCATTCTCTTTACTGCTGAAGCCAGTCTTTGTAAAAAATCTGTGAAAGATTCTTTTGGGCCTTGTACAACCTTTGTAAATGACTCAGTTTTTTTTCCTGGTTCCTCAACTCTGTCCCATGCATTCAAGGCTGCTGTTCGACATAAAATTAGGGTTTGGACATCATATAAACATTGTGTTTGTGCTGAAGCATATTGTCCTCCAATAAGCTGATCCTGGCAGACTTGTATTCCTTTATCTCTCCACTGTTTTTCTATGTTTTTAGCTTCATCCTTGAACCAAGTTAGCCACTGAAGCCTTTGACTGGGTTCAAGAACAGCTTGTGCCAGCTCCCACCAGTCCTGTGGTACAATCCTATTATATGCTGACCAAGAGTTTAACATTTGCTTTACATATGGGGAATGCATGCCATAAGATACTATTGCCTCCTTAAACCTTCGTAAATCTAACATTTCAATTGGAGCCCAAATATTTTGTGTAGTCATTTGATCAGGCAACTGCTGTACGGTTACTGGACAAACTAAGGGTGACTATGTGAAAACAGGCTTTCTTTCTGTAACCCTATGATCCAATCTTGAAGCAACTTCACTGTTAGTTTCTTCTGTCTGAGTTTTTACAGGTTTAACAAGTTTTTCTAAAGCTGTCACCCTGGCACTTAAATTGACTATCTTTTTAAATAGTAAAATGAGGATAAGCATAATAATAAACTGCATAATTCAGTCAACATTAATCTTCTCATATAGCTGTTCCATTGTCAGACTGCCTAAAATTGCAAACAAAGCCCAATTTTCTTCCAATGAACACAGAAAACCCAATTTTTTTTTAATGTGGAAAAAAATTTCTCTTTTAAATAGTTTCCTTTAAAATATCTGATATGTTAAGTGACTTACCAAGTCCTCGTAGAACAGTACCAATCTGAGGGAATTTCAAAACAGCCACCTAGTGTCCGAGGTGTGAATCTAGAGAGAGAGAGAGAGAGAGAGAGAGAGAGAGAACACGCAAGAACCGTAGCCGCAAGTTCTGCCTAAGAGCTTCAATCCAGCCACGTGTTCCCGCTTGAGCCTAGTCAAGCCTTGGCTCTGGCTACCTTAAGCTCCAACCACGTGCGTTGGCTTTACAGGCAGGGGCCCTGTTCGGCAGGGCAGGCCTGAGTTGTTTGTAGCGCCGGCTTTAAGCAAGTAACTCAAGGTTAGTCCGGCCTGAGGCCAAGCCGACCTGGGCCCGGGCTAGGGAGCCGGCCGCCCTGGCGGGAAACGGGACCTGCCGCCAAGTCAAGTTAAGCAGTTTTTAATGGATTCTTGTCACGTTGGGCGCCAAATGTAGATGTAACCAACCATCTTATTAAATAAGAAACACAGAGTCAATTCAGAGAAGAAAGCCAAGAGGTCAGAGCTAAGAGCCTCACCCTTCCTGATTCAGTGATCCTCTTCAGCCAAGAGAGCTCTCCACAAGGGACCTACTTCCTGTGTATATGTCTTTATATAGTCTAGCTGTTCTGCCTTCTCATTGGTTGTAAACCCAAACACGTGACTACCTCGTCACTGCCTGTATGCACCGCCCTCCAGGTCCTTAAAGGCGTGCGCCACCGCCGACATGCACTTGCTATGGCTCTAATAGCTCTGACCCCCAGGCAACTTTATTTATTAACATGCAATTAAAATCACATTTCAGTGCAAGTAAAATACCACCACACATCTGTGGCTCCAATCCCCTCGTTTGCAGAGAAGTACTGAGATGTCTAAGCTGATTGTCCAAGCTTCGTAGTCAGCACTAAGCTGTCAACCTCTGTGAGTGCACAGAATAGATCCACTCCAGTATTGTCGCCCATGAGTGTCTGTGTCCCATGAGACTGACTGTGAGTGTGTCACACTGGAGCCATCCCTGACGGTCACAATTCTGAGCAGACACTAAGTGTGGAAAGTAGATACCACAGTGCAGAACTCGTGTACAGTCTCCCCAGTCTGAACTGTTCCCTGGGTCAGACTGGGAGGAACCCTCTGTGGGCAGTCAGAGTCAGGGAGTTGAGATTACCAACAGGAATGGGTAGCACACAGTATGTCAGAAAAATGGGGAGCTAGAAGTAAGTAGGTATTATTTCAGTGAGAAGTTGTAGGTTGAATTACTTCATTTAAATATAATCCTAGCCGGGCGGTGGTGGCACACGCCTTTAATCCCAGCACTCGGGGGGCAGAGGCAGGTGGATCTCTGTGAGTTTGAGGCCAACCTGGTCTACAGAGTGAGATCCAGGACAGGCACCAAAGCTACATGGAGAAACCCTGTCTCAACCTCCCCCGCAAAAAAAAAAAAAAAGTAATTCTATTTTAGTGAAAGAGGCCATGGTGGAGTGTGAGAGGACTACCAGGAAAGAGCACCCCCTCCCCCACACACCAGAACTCCACAAACACTGAGGCTGCAGGAAGGAACATTTCCCACACTCCCATTTTCCACTCTCCCCTCCTCCACAAAGCCAAATGGAACCTATCAGAGCTAGCAGGGGCGGGCAGGGGTGGGTGGGGGAGTCTGAGAACATCTCTTTTCAACCCGACAAAATCATGCCAATAATTCACTCCATAAATGTGTGCTTCTCTCAACCTTGGTCAGAGAAGCTTCCTTTTGCATTTGCAGTGGGCTCATACCTGATCAAAAGGCTGGCAATAAGTAAGTGTAAGTGCTCAGCTCTGTAACACTTCCTCCCTCCTCTGAGGCTCAGGGAACATCATGAACGAAGGGGTAGAAAGAGTAAAAGTCAGAGGCTGGGGAGGAGTGCTGGGAAATGATGTCTTATGGACATGAATGCCTGTTACACACATGAACCTCCAGCAGGTGTGGTTCCCTGGTTCCCTGCAGAAGATCTGCTCAAAATCAGGGCAGCTAAAATCCCAGTGTGTGTGTGTGTGTGTGTGTGTGTGTGTGTGTGTGTGTGTGTGTGTGTGTGCTATTGGCAGATGCTGGTTGTTGTACAGAGGATGGGGGAAGTCACTTTTCTTTAAAAGTATAGCGACTGCAAGGTTGTCCATGTTGTGGTGTATTACCCCATGCCAGTGAACACATGTGCAGCATTAATTGAAATCCAGTAAGTTAAAAATAAAATTATAAAAAGAGAACATGAAATTGGGAGGGAGATGTGATGAAGGGTTCAGGGGTAGGGTTGGAGCAGAACTGTGGAAGTGAGGGGTGGATATATGATCAAGACACTTTGTATGCCCATGGACTGTGGACTGGTGGCTGTGGAGCCCCCGTGGGACTGGACTAGGCCCTCTGGATATGGAAGATGGTTGTTTGGCTCAAACTGTTTGGGGGGGACCCAGGCAGGGGGACCGGGATCTGTCCCTGGTCTATGGTCAGGCTTCTGGAACCCGGTGCCTGCGGTGTGACACCTTGCACAGCCTTGGTGCAGTGAGAAGGGGCTTGGACCTGCCTATGCTCAGTGAGCTGGGCTCTGCTGACTTGCCATGGGAGACCTCGATTTGGGGGATGTGGGGATGCGGGGTGGCTTGGGAAAGAGGGCTGGGGGGTGGGAGAAAGGAGGAGGGGGGATCTGTGGATAGTATGTGGAGTGAGTAGAAAATTTCTTAATAAAGAAAATGAAAGAAAAAAAAGAAATGCACATGGATAAAAAAAGAAAATGGCATCAGAAAAAAGACACTTTGCATGTTTGAAATTTTCAAAGAATAAATTAGAGGAAAAATGTGATTAATAACTAAAAATTTTTTCCTATCTTTTCCTGGTATTAAAATAATTATTACTTTAAAACTTACTATTTGTACATCTATATGTAAAATATTCATGTTCACATATATACATATGTAGCGATAATCAAAGAGAAATAAATTATCAGTTTGAAATGGGGGGGACATGGAAGGAACTGGAGGGAGGAAATAGGAGGGGAATGATGTAATTATATTGTAATTTTAAAATGCATAGAAATGAATAAATAAATTGTAACAAATGAAACTTTACATATATAGTCTTTGTCAGATTGAGAAAGTCTGCTTCTTTTTCTGGACTTCAAATGCTTTTTAAATTACAAGCACATAAAACTTTAAATCAAAAGCTTTGTTTGTGCCTCCCAAGATAATCATATGGGTTTTTTTTCTTTTAATGTAATGGGCCACATATACAGACTTTTTATTTAAAATATCTTTATTTTCTTAGATAAGTCCTACTTAATCACAGTACACTTTTAAACACATTGTTGGACTCAACTAATTTTCCTTCAAACTTAAAATTCCTTAAGATTACTAAGTTGTATTTTTCTTAAGCTATTTTAGACATTTTATAGTTTTAAATAAACTTCAGCCAGGCATGGTAGTTCAAGCCTTTAACTCCAGCACTGGGGAGACCAAAGCAGGTGGATCTCTATGAGTTCAAAGCCATCCTGGTCTACACAATGAGTTCCAGGCCAGGAAACACTATACATAGCAAGACCTTGTCTCAAAATGCAAAACAAAGCAATAAGAACTTAAAATTTTTTTAATTTTTTTTAATTTTGGAGATCATCCCTTGTCTCCAAAATATATAAAGAACTCAAGAAATTAGACATCAAAATACCAAATAATCCAATTAAAAAATGGGATACAGATCTAAACAGAGAATTCTCAACAGAAGAATTTCAAATCACCAAAATATTCAACACCCTTAGTCATTATGGAAATGAAAATCAAAATGACTCTGAGATATTATCTGACACCTGTCAAAATGGCTAAGATCAAAAACACTGGTAACAGCTTATGTTGGAGAGGATATGGAGTAAAGGGAATACTCCTCCACTGTTGGTGGGAGTACAAACTGGTACAGTCACTTTGGAAATCAATATGGTAGTTTTTCAGAAACATGGGAAAGGCCCATGGTCCCACGTTTCTCAGGTCCTGCCCAGCCCCGCAGTCCTGCATCTGCTTATAAAATAATCATTCAGAGGCTTAATATTATTTACAAACTGTATGATCTATGGCAGGATCCTTGCTAGCTAGCTATTTCATCTTAAATTAACCCATTTCTATTAATCTATGTTTTGCCACTTGGCCATGGCATTACCAGTCTGCTGGCATCTTGCTTCTCCTTCAGCAGTGGCTGGCATCTCTCTAGACTCCACCTTTCTCTTTCCTGTCTCTGTCCTTGGATTTCCCACCTGCCTCTAAGAAGCTTTGCCATAGGCCAGAGCAGCTTATTTATTAAGCAATGGGAGCAACATATATTCACAGTGTACAGAAAGACATCCCACACCAGGAAAATGTGGTACATTAACACAATGGAGTATTACTTAGCTATGAAAAACAATGACCTCATGAAATTGCAGGTAAATAAATGGAACTAGAAAAATCATTGTGAGTGAGGTAACCCAGACCCAGAAAGACAAACATGGTATGTACTCACTCATAAGTGGATATTAGGAGTAAAATACAGAATAACCAATGTACAATCCATAGCCCCAGAGAGGCTAGATAATAAAGAGGGCCCAAAAGGTGATGCAAGAATTTCCCTGGGAAAGGGAAATAGAAGAGATCTCCTGAGTAAACTGTGGGTGGGGGTGAGAAGGTGGGGGGATGGGAATTTCAGGGAGTGAGTTGGGTGGGCTGGGTGCAGGAGGTGGGTTGGGGGCAGGACAGATTGGGGGAGTAAGGAAAGAGACATCTTGATGGGGGTTGTATTTCAGGGTTAGTAAGAAACCTAGTGCCAGAGAAACTCCCAAGAATCCACCAGGATGATCCTAGCTAAGACTCCTAGTAATAGTGGAGAGGGTGCCTGAACTAGTCATCTACTGTAATCAGATTGAAGACTACCCTAATTGCCATCAGAGAGCCTTTATCTATTAATTGATGGAAGCAGATGCAGAGATCCACAGACAAGCACTGGGCAAAGCACTGGGAGTCCTCCTAAAGAAAGGGAGGAGAGATTGTAGGAGCCCAGGAGGATGGTAGGGGAAGGCAAGGTCATAATAAAGGAACCCACAGAGACAGTTGACCTAAGCTCCTAGGAGCACATGGACTCAGGAACAACAGTTAGAGCCTGCATGGAACCAACCTAGGCTCTCTGCTTGTGTATGACACTTGTGTAGCTTGGTCTGTTCGTAAGGCTCCTAGCCATGAAATCAGGACCTGTCTCTGGCACTTAGCTGGCTTTTGGGAACCTGGTCCCTGTGCTGGATTACCTCACCCAGCCTTTCTGCAGGAGGAAGAGTTATGTCCTGCCTCAACTTGATGTGCCATGCTTTGGTCAAGCCCATGGGAGGCCCGCCCATTTTTGAATGGAGAGGGAGGAGGAGTGGATGGGGAGGAGGGTAGATGGGAGTTGGGAGGAGAAAATGGGAAGAGAGGAGGGAGAGGCAATTGTGGTTGGTATGTAAAATAAATGAAAAATGCTAATTAAACAAAATAAATGTTTTTAAAAAGAATTCAAAGACAAAAAAATACAATTTTGGACTTACAGGAAAAAATCTACAGAGCAGTCAAGATATAGCTCTTTGGTTAACAGCACTGGCTGTTCTTCCAGAGGACCTCAGGTCAATTCCCAGCACCAGTTCACAGCTGTCTATAATGCCAGCTCCAGGGATAAGCTACACTTCTGGCCTTCAGGGGCATTTGCACTGATGTTCACATAGTCACATGCACATGCACTCACATAACTAAAAATAATTTTAAAATAAGTAGAAAGAAAAATCTCTACATATTTAACATCCATAACTTGACAAGATTGAATATACATAATATATCTTATGAAATTTTCAATATAACCTATATTATAAACATACCTGTCTCCTCTAAGCTTCCTCCTACTGTCTTCACTTTCTGCTGTTACTAATTTTTTAATAACATGATGTTGGAGAAATGACTCAGAAGTTAAGAACACTGTCTGCTCTTCCAGAGGTTCTGAGTTCAAGGCCCCAGAACCACATAGTGGTTCACAATCATCTCTAGTGGGATCTGCTGCCCTCTTCTGGCATAAAATCATATATGCAGATAGAGCACTCATATACATAAAATAAATAAATCTTTAAAAAATAACAAATAGCGTGATATTGATACATATTCTCTTAGGGTGATATTCTTTGAAATGGGGTCCACTTAGTTCATGCTGGGTTTGAACTCATGGCCTCAATAGACTCTTTGGTTTCAGTGTTTTGAGTCAAGTGGTACTAGGTATGCACCACCAAGTCTGATTGCAGTTGTCTAATTATTACTAAACACTTTTATTAATTATATAGTTCTAGAACTTATTCAGTTAATACAAAGGGAACTTTCACACTTCCTTAGCCACTGAATAGGTCTGGCACTATCACAGCAAGCAAGTTTCTGTATTAAAATACCTTCAAATTGTGCAGAATGCTGAGCATGTCAAAGGCTTCCCTACCACTCTTTCATGGCATAGTCTGAGAATGCCCAGTGTTCCTGTCTGCGATACGTATGATGCAAGCTGAGCATGCGTTGAGGAGTTTCTCTTTCTGACAGAGACCATCTTAATGACACATACTGAGCATGTCCACATATAGACACTCTTCCATTAGTGTTGTGCTGCAAGGTGAGTATGTCCCAAAGAGTTTCTGATGACGAGTGTAGGTTTCGTGTCGTATGGTCCATTCCATGATCTTCTTGGGCTACCCAAAATATATCTACAATCTTTCTGTCTTGAACTTCCTTTCTTGAACTCTGACCTTACATTAAGAAGCTGCACATCCCTAAAGCTTTTTCTGACTTGAGTGTGTATGGGCTCACTGCATAAAATCCAATGACTCCTTTCTTCAAAAACTCCTGGCTCTCCTCATATGCTGTGTGTAATGAGCCCATCTTCACTATTTCATTTCCTGGCTGTTTGTTTTTGGATTTCCACCTACTAAATGTGGTTCAGTTGCAAATCAAATGGGTCAGATCAACTGTTCTGCTGAAAGGCTCGGGGAGGGGGGGGCTTGCTATTAACTCCCAATAGGAGAAGGCATGAAGAAAAGCATTATGTACATCATTGACACCTGCACTGGTGGAAATAGGTCTTGAGTTGGCATACACTCCAGTTTTATCCATTAATAAATTCATGTGCTGACATCTATTTAGGCTGTTGCCATTGCTTGGTGATTGTGGGTATTAATTTCACAAACATGAGCATGCTTGAGATCTTGACATCAGTATGTTTGCATATGAACCTAGAAAGGGAAGTACAGAAGCTTTAGGTAGTTCCATTTTAAATTTATTTTACTGTTTTTGTTACCATACAAGAGAATAGGTTTCAATATAATAGTTTTGTATATTTATATCATTGTACATTGCTCATACTCCTCCATTCTGTTATCCTTTCTTGCCTAAATATAACCTAAATATAATCATTATGCTCTCATTTCCTTCTCTGGCTATGGCAAGCCTGAAACAGGAGAATTCCAAGAGTCACTAGAATCAAAGCAGCCACAGTGATCTGAACAAGATTCTCTGCTCTGTGATCCTGGAAATTGGACAAAGAAATCACAGAGGCCAGAGACAACCTGAATGTCCACACAGGGCACATGCCTCCCATAGACAAAGCTGTACCTTCTGTATCTATCTATCTATCTCCATATCTAAGGATTCTCCTTGATCAGGTGTTTTGGTGTCTGACTTATTCTGTAATGGTCTGAGCTGTTCCCAGGAAATAAGGAAGCAGATGAGGATTTTCATCCTGAGATGCGAAATATTCTCCTGAGATACACTTCCTTATGTCTTATTTTCACGACTTAAGGTAGACTATTACTTTTATTTTATGTGCATTTGTGTTTTGCCTGCATGTGTGTCTGTGTAAGGGTGTTGGATTCCCTGGATTTGGAGTTACAGACAGTAGTGAGCCATCATGTGGACATTGGGAATCAAGCTGGGTCCTCTGGAAGAGCAGCCAGTGCTTTTAACTGCTGAGCCGTCTCTCCAGCCTTTTATGATAGATTCTTAGTAAGCACTTTCCCTGACACAGTCAGTTTCCTTCTGATACTTCAGCCTTGCTATCTTTTGTGAGTTCAGAACTTGTGTCTGGATTTTCAAAAATTTATCTGTGCCTCCCAAGAGCTCAGGATTAATGAGAAGTTGTTTACCCATTCAGAAGCAATAGCCCCCCTCTTATGCTGTCTGCCCATTCTGATCACAGGGACATGCAAATTAATTTCCATAGAGATGATTTACCACTCATTTCCTAGCTAAACACCCAGAGGCTAAGGGTCAAGCCCCAGTCCGCAGGGACTCTAGCACATCATCTGTACAAGAGAAGAAATGCATCAGCTCCTAGCTAGATACCCTGGAATTTTATCATCCTTTGGACCACTCATTAACTGAGCATCATAAAGTCAGAATCACAATGCAACATACAGAGAGAGATACACAGAGATGTGTAAATTCTAAGTGCTAGTAATGCTGATAGGAAATACAACCTGCTTCTACATATAGATATATAAACACAGAGGCTGGAGCAATGGCTCAGTAGTTAAAAGAATTCACTGCCTTTGCAAGGGACCTGGGTTCCATTCCCAGCCATCACGTGATAGCTCATAACTTTCTGCAACTCCAGTTCTAGGGCATCTGATGCTCCCTTCTGGCATCTATATATGCTGAACATATATGGGGATTGAACCTGAGTCCTCTGGAAGAATGGACAGTATTCTTAACCACTGAGCCATTTCATCAGTCCCTGTTTTGAAACCTTTAAAACAATAACTTCCTGTGTAAGTCAGTTTATGAGATACATATTTTACTCAAAAAAAAAATGAGACCAATCTTATTTTGTTAGAATTAGATGGCATTTATAAACTTATTATAGAACAAAAATCTGTGTGTGTTTGTGCATGTGTGTATGTGTGTCTGTATGTCCATGCATATGGATGCCAGAGATCAGCATCCAGTGATCTGATGTCTTCTTCAAATTCTCTCCACCATATTTGGGTGGGGGGGCCTCTACCTGAACTTGAGCTTGCTAATTCAGCTAGACTGGGTGCCAAGCAAACTGAAGGAATCCTCCTGTCCCTGCCTCTCCAAATCTTCGGTTATATCTATGCTAAGCCTTCTGCATTGATACTGGAGATCCTAACTCAGGTCCCCATGCTGAGCAAGATTCATTTAAATTATTGAGTCATCTCTCCAGCCCCATGTTTAGAAAGGAAATTCTTTTGCCTGTCCTGGAACTCACTCTGTAACCCAGGCTGGCCTCGAACTCACAGAGATCTGCCTGCCTCTGCCTCCCGAGTGCTGGGATTAAAGGCGTGAACCACCACCACCACCCGGCTTTTTTTTTTTAATTTCAGGGCTGAGGACTCAACCCAGGGTCTTGCGCTTGCTAGGCGAGTGCTCTACCACTGAGCTAAATCCCCAACCCCGGAAATTCTTACAGCTGGAGAGATGGCTCAATGGTTAAGTGCACTGGCTGCTCTTTCAGAGAACCCAGTTCAATTCCCAGCACCCAAATGATGGCCCACACTGGCTGTAACTCCAGTCTCAGGGGTTCCAATGTTCTGTTCTGTCCTCTGTGGGTACTGTATGTGGTGCAGACTTACAGCTCACAACCACCTGTGACTCCATTATCATGGGGATATTATGCCTTCTCCCGGCCTCCGTAGACAAAGTACACGCATAGTGTACAGACTACACTCATACATTATTATGTATTATTAATTATTATTAATATACATTATTCAGGCAAAATACTCATGCATAGATTTTTAAATCATTTTTAAAGGTTTCAGAACTAAAGGAACAAATACACAAGAGTGTAAACAGAAAATGTAGAGTAGAAACAATTGGCTTTTGCTTTAAAAAAAAAAAAGTGCCAAGCAGTGATCCCCATAGTCACAGCACCAAGCAGCTGTACATCCCCTCCTAAGTCTAAGTACATGAGGGGCCATGCATAGTGGTACCCACAGCATGGATGTGTAGTGGGTAGCCATTCCAGCTTTGATCTGGAAGTTCCAACCCCCATTGAGACTTCGGCAATGTCACGCCTACAAGGCGGGGCAAAGGGAGGTGCCTGGGGACCCGAGAGCTGGATCGGCGGGCGCTCTCTCTGTTGCGGGACCCTGGACTGGAGAGGTGGACTGAGCAGAGCTCCAGAGAACACCGCTGGACTGTGATACACCTTCCCCAGACTCCGCGACCTACCTATTCCTTAATTTGTAAGTTACGCCATTAAATAAATCTCCTTTTAACTACGTGGAGTGGCCTTAATAATTTCACCAATATGGATGCCTCTCTAAAAAAGGAGTATGTCTTTGGGGGGGCCTCAGCCTCACCCACAACAAGACCTCACTGTGACCTGAGCAGCCTCATCTCCTTATCTGAGGGGACTCAGGAAGACACTCCATGCTTGAGTGAAGGGTTGAACCCTCAAAGTCTCTCAGCAACTGGAATCAAGAGCTACTAAGGTAGTATCCCTGTGTCCTGCCCTATACTCACCCAATTACCTGTGTTCTCTATCAGCCCCCGGGATCCTCTCTGAGTCCTGGTCAGACCTAGACATCACATCCTGCTAACACAGTGTGTTCTCCCTCCTCTTCTTCCAAAAAATACTTCAGGATTGGTTGGTACCAGTGTGCCATACAGTGTGTTATATACTAGTGCACTGGTGTGTACTAGTGACTCATAGAGTGAAAAAAACTGAATGGATTTTATGGCTCATGAAAGAGGAAGGCTTCTGAATGAGTAGGTTTTCACAAATCTTTACTGTTCCCATAATATTTTGGTTTCCCCTTACCCAGCTGAGACTCAAAACTGATGGGTAAAATCCCATGTTCCAGCTCCACATCTTTTAGGTTTTTTATCTTTTAATAAGAGATTATTTTTTTGAATTATGTGTGCATTGAAGCTGAATGTCATGATACATTCCTTTGACTCCAGCATTCAAGAACTAGGGGCAGGAAGATTTCTGTGAGTTAGAGACTAGCCTGGGCTACATAGGGTGTTCCAGGTCAGCCAGATACATAGAGAGACCCTGCCTTAAAATACAAAAGCAAACAAACAAAAACCACAATATTTGAAAAGAAACCAGAAGCTAGTTACTAGGATGCTCATATCTCAGATAGTTGTTCTCAAGTCCAGGACCCTCCAGCCATCCCCAACATCAGTCAACATCCACTACTCCCCATCCAAACTGCCTGGGTGTTACACAGTGTCCCAAGTAAGGTGGAGGGACCTGGGACATCTGGGAATGCACTCACCTGCCAATACTGCTTTCTTATAGCCCAGACTCAGCTCTGAGAGAGAATGTCCTTTGAGAAGTTTGTCCTGAAAGCTGCGCAGGTCCTCTCCTACCAAGAGCTTCCTGAGCCCTTGGAGTTTCCTCACAAGCCAAGTCCTGTCTATGGAGTGGGGTCTCTCCCAGATGTAGGTGACTCCTTCCCGTTTTTACATCTCACCAAGGCTGAACAGGGCCATGAGAGTGAGAGTCATGGGGTCTTCTCTCACCTGCTGCTGTTCTGCAGGCAGTTTGAGGATCAGACACACAAAGTGTGGCCTTTGTTGGCCTTGTGTTCCCAGAGACAAGGTTGGCACACCACCAGCCTCACAGGAAGAGGAACTGACCAACATCCAGAGCTTGGTCTTTATCTTCTTAGGGCTGAGGCCCAGGCAGTGGTGGGGACAAGACTGTTGACACTTTATATAGAAAGGCATTCTCCCCCAGGTCTATGGACATATGACTTAATGGTCATAATAAGAGTCAGGCTATAAACCCCTCTGGTGAGGGTGACTGAGGGCTGGTCCTTCCATCTGAGAGGCTCTCCATAGGATCCCTTTCCCTCCTTCATCCTGTCATGTATCTACACAACACTGTGTGGTCCTTAGTATGGCCAGCATCCTCCAAACCCTGAAGATATTTTGAAGGAGATACAGGTTGGTGTTGCAAGGAAGACACAGCTACATTCTGGGGATGAGCCCAGAGGGATCCAGAGGAATAGAAAAGGAAAAAAATCTGTTATATGGGCTCTGTATGAGGGTTTCATCAACTATTCCTTTCTCATTTATTTGCTTTTCTTACCAAATCACACGTGGCTGCTACTGGAGTTGTTGGGTTTATAGTCTGGACCCCCAAATCCCTCACAATCCAGGTTCAAGCACTTGTCCTCTATAGGACAAATAGATAGACAGAAATAATAATGAAAAACAAGAGGGGGAGATTTAGTCACTGTTAGAACACTAAGACGATCTAACTGATTTGCAGAAGGATGCTAGCCTCCTTCCTGGAATGGGGCTGTGGTTTTTACTGCCCCAAACTTCCTCCTTCTGACTTCTTCATTTCTATAAGACATTACAGTTCCTCCTGACCCTTCTTCATGGACCAATCCATGTCATTTCTTCTTCCTAATTCCCGTTCTTGTGTTCCTTTCTCACTTTCTCTTCTCTTCTGACCACAAATCGTCGCCTGATAATGTCTGCCTGTCTAGACACTAATGTTCACTAGAAGAAATTCTCTGGTTTCCCATTGAGACATGGGGGAAATATTTACCAATGGCCTTCATCCCATATTCTTCAAGGTGAAAGCATTGTGACATCTCCTCTCAGGGTGTTGTGAGGATTGTCCAGTATAGACACATTCTCATTTTTAGAATAAGACATGGAATCAAGAGTGCTTGTGGTAGGAGTGATTCATCAGTGCTCTACATCTGCCCTCCTACTGCACAGGAACAGAAGATACCATACTGCATCCTGGGTAGAAAGTCAGATGTTGTACAGCACAAACTCTACACTCAGGCAAAGTATTAATCAAATCTTATTTTAGGAATTTTATCAAGGAGGCTGGAGATAAGGTTCAAGAGTAAGGAGCACTGCCTGCTCTTCCAGAGGACCTGAGTTTCTCAACCCACATTGAGTGGCTCACAACTGTCTGTTACTCCAGCACCAGTAGATTTGGCACAATATTCCAGCCTCTGTGAGGACACACACACACACACTCACACAGAGAGTGTGGAGGAGAGAGAGAGAGAGAGAGAGAGAGAGAGAGAGAGAGAGAGAGAGAGAGAGAGAGAGAGAGAGAGAGCATGCATTCACACATACACATAAATAAAAAGTCATTTTGGTTTTTTTTTTTTTCCAGACAGGGTTTCTCTGTGTAGCTTTGCGCCTTTCCTGGAACTCACTCTGTAGCCCAGGTTGGCCTCGAACTCACAGAGATCCACCTGACTCTGCCTCCCGAGTGCTGGGATTAAAGGCGTGTGCCACCACCCGCCCGGCCTAAAAAGTCATTTCTTAAAGTTTCATCAAGGAAGCAATGTTTTATTGCTATGACCTCTGAAGCACAGCACACCTCTATGTTAGTTTCAGTGAGAACCACCATAGACCTGTGTATTTGAACACTTGGTCCCCAGTTGGTGGCATCATTTGGGGATGATTGTGGAACTTTCATGGGAGGCTTTCTGGAGGAAGTAGGTCATCAGAGGTGGACTTCAATAATTTATATAGACTTGATTCATGTCCAGTTCACTGTCTCCGCTTCTTGTTGGGCATCTTATTTCCACAGCCTGCTGTCATGCTCTCCTCTCAATTATGGATTATCCAACCCTCTGGAACCATAATGAAAAACAAACCTTATTCCATAAGTTACTTCTAGTCATGATATCCTATCAGAGCAAGAGAAAAGTAATTAATGTGATCCTCCTTCTGCTATAAGGAGTGTGTGCTGTTGTTTCTCCATTTCCCTTTCTGGACTATAGCTCATAGAACATAAATTTAACCACTAAACACTTTACAAGTATGTAATTCAGTGACACTGAGTAAATTCTCAGTGATACACGGCCACCACCGGTATCTAGTTCCTAGACATTGTCCCCAGTTCAAAAGAGAACCCCAATATCCACAAAGCAGTCACTGCCCTTGTCCGCTCAGTTAGTGATTTCCGCAACTATGGAGCTGTTGGGTACAGCTGCATATTTTTTTTTTTTTTGGTTTTTCGAGACAGGGTTTCTCTGTGTAGCCCAGGCTGGCCTCGAACTCACAAAGATCCACCTGCCTCTGCCTCCCGAGTGCTGGGATTAAAGGCGTGTGCCACCACCGCCCGGCAAGCTGCATATTTTTTAATTAGTTTTTCAAACTAGTTTACAAAGCAATTCCGGTTGTGCAAAGCTGTATTTTTTGTTGTTATTATTATTATTACTATTATTATTATTATTATTATTATTATTATTATTATTATTATTATTTTGGTTTTTCGAGACAGGATTTCTCTGTGTTGCTTTGCGCCTTTCCTGGAAGTCGCTTTGGAGACCAGGCTAGCCTCGAACTCACAGAGATCTGCCTGCCTCTGCCTCCCAAGTGCTGGGATTAAAGGCGTGCGCCACCACCGCCCGGCCTTGTTATTAATTTTTTGGTTTTTCGAGACAGGGTTTCTCTGTGTAGCTTTGGAGCCTTTCCTGGAACTCACTCTGTAGCCCAGACTGGCCTCGAACTCGCAGAGATCCACCTGCCTCTGCCTTCCTAGTGCTGGGGTTAAAAGCATGCGCCACCACTACCCGGCTTATTTTTTATTATTTTTAATTATGAGTGTTTTGGGGGAGGTGCACACATGAACGGAACAACCTTGGAGGCCAGAAGAGGGCACTGTGTCCCCTGGAGCTGGAGTTACTAGTGGTTTTGAGCCACCCGTTGTGGATGCTGGAACCGCATCCAGTCCTCTACAAGAGCAGTAAGTGTTCTTAAACTCTGATCCATCCCCTCAAGCTCTGTCTTTATTTATCCTCCTCCCCATGCACTTCCTCGGTCCCCCTATTCCCATGCTGTCCTACGTCTTCGCCCCCCAAACCCCCCTCCTGTGGATGCATCTTATAGATGAAATGCAGAGTAAGCAGCGCTATTCAATCATGCTCTATCATGTAGCACATTTCAGCCATCTCGTGTATTCTTATAGGATGCATCACAACTTAATTCCTCCTAGATTGAATGTAATGGACACTGCATTGGTCAATTGTCATTTGCCGTTAAGCTTGTTGAAAACTGGACTCTGGGAGTATGGAGGGCTCTCCTTTCCCATTTCTAGCATGTGTATTGCAAGTGTCTTCATGGACTTCTCTTTTCTTTTTTTTTTTTTAACTCTTTAATGATTCCATTTTATTGAATTGTTATTTTTTAATTGTTTTCATTATACATACATACCACAGTTCCCCCTCCCACCCCTCCTCCCACCTCTCCCATCTAACCCCCACCCACCTCCATCCACTCCTCAGAGAGGGTAAGGAAGGAGGGTAAGAGGGAGTCATCTAAGTCTGGTACATCAGGTTGAGCCCTTCTCCCTTGTATTATGGCTGAGCAAGGTATAGGGAACGGGCTCCTAAAAGCCAGTTTATGCACCACGAAAGAACCCTGGTCCCATTGCCGGGGGCTTCACAAACAGATCAAGCCACACAACTGTCGCCACTCTCAGAGGGCCTAGTTCAGTCCCATGCAGCTTCCCCAGCCATCGGACCTCTCTTTTCTTACCAGCATAAGTCATACTTGTATCTATATGTGTCCCTAGTTGCATTATACATAAATATAATAATAATGATGTACATGTAATGCATTCCATAAATAAAAACAACTTACATGTTTATCTTCTTTATTTTCTTCCATCGTTATCTTATCAGTTGTATTAGTACCTGTCTCACTGATGCAATAAAACACCCTGTCAAAAACAACTTAAGGGCCTGAAGAGATGCTCAGTGGTTAAGAGCAGTTGCTGCTCTGGCAGAGGACCCAGGTTCAGTTCCCGGCATCCACGTGGTGACTCACAACCATTTATAACTCCAGTTCCAGAAGATCCAATGCCCCCTTCTGACCTCCAAAGACATCAGGCACATGTGTAGCGTCCATACATAAATGCAGGCAAAACTCTTATAAAAGAAAATACATAAATCTTTTTAGATGAAACTCAAGGAAGGAAGAGTTCATTCTGGCTCATCATTCCAGGTTACAGTCCATCTTGGTGGGGAAATCCTGGTGGCAGGAGCATAAGCAGCTGGTCACATGGTATCCAGTCAGGAAACAGAAAGATCAATGCTGGTGTTCCGCTCACTTTTTCCTTGTTATGCAGTGAGGGATCCTAGCCCATGGCATGTTACTACTCACATTTAAGAGGAGTCTTCCCCATCTCAATTAAGCTAATCTGGATCATCCTAACAGACATGCCCAGAGGCTTGAATCTATAGTAACTCTAGATACTGTCAAGTTGACATTCAGTAGTAACTGTAAGCCATGTGGAGAAAAATGTAAATTTAGAGCACAGATTGTAAAAATTGCCAGCTTTATTTCTTAGAACTTTAACTGTAATATATTAAGAACATAGGTGACATATGGGCACCACTAATTGGATTCAGTAGGGGTGTGTGTGTGTGTGTGTGTGTGAGAGAGAGAGAGAGAGAGAGAGAGAGAGAGAGAGAGAGAGAGAGAGAATTATAGAAGAAATAAATTTGAGATAAGGTTATGAATTTGAGCCAGAGATGTGGGGGGAGGATATGAAAGGGGTCAAAAAAAGAGGAAGGAGTAGATACAATGAAAATGCATTTTGCTCACATATA